TCAACTGGAAACTGGACAAAGAAAATGTGGTTTTTTTATAAAATGGAGTACTACTCAGCCATAAAAAATGAGAAATTAGAGACATTTATAGCTACCTGGATGCACATTGTGGCGATACTCTTAAGTGAAATAAATAGGACACACATGTGTAAATACCTAATAGTTTCTCTAATGTGAGAAACTGAAAATGTAAATAAGGACTAATAGGTATAATAGATAATGTGAAATAGGAAGAAAAGGGGCAAAGGGGAAGGGGTAGGAGAAAGGAAAGAAGGGAATGGAATTAATATGAGAAAATGAAAAAAGGAAACAAAGTCTCTGTAAATAGGGAGGGATGGAGGGGTTGAAGGGAAGTCAGGGGAAGGGGGAAAAAATAAGAACCAAGAGAGACTATGTAAAGGTCCAAATTTCCAATGATGAATGTCATAATATTGTATACCTAAAGTGTACCGATAAAAGAAAATACAGTTAAAAAGTAAAATAAAATATCACTGAAGAACTTGGGGCTCTTGGAAGCTTACCATGAGCAACCATAACTGAGAAGAACAGATTCTGACATGGAGAACAAGTGATCAAATCTAGCCCGCTCATTCACTGTTGGAGTGACCTTAACTAAGCCTTCTTTAAGCCTCAGGCACTTTATCTATAAATAGAAATGAAACTAACCCCACAAAGTATCTGTGAGGAATGAATGAAATAATGTAAGATGCACCTTAATCAGAGTAACACCCAAACTCCTTGGCATAACTGATGAATCCATGATCTTCTCGCAGGCCAACTCTCTATCCTCATTCTTATATTCTCCCTAACCCACCAGCTACCAATTACAGCGCATTCCTCTCTAAATCTTGAATGTGCTAAGCCCATTTGGAGAGCTCTGAGATCTCTCTCTTAACCTTTAATGCCCTTACAGGAGTTCTGATGATCATCCTTTCCCTCCATCTAATCTCAGTTCCAATTTCACTTTCTCAGAGAACACTTTAAGCATCTGAAGTAAACCAGCAACCCTCTTACTCAATGCTCTTTCCCATTCCCCTAGTATACTTTCATCCCAGTAATTATCAAGAGCTGAAATATATTTTTTTTGGTACCAGGGATCGAACTCGGGACCTTGGGCTTGCAAGGCAGGCACTGGAACCACTGAGCTAAATCCCCAGCCTCCAAAAGCTGAAATATTAAAACTTCCTACTTTTCAGGCTTTCCTTAGCCATCTCTTTCCAGTTATTGAAACGCTAAGAGTCTTTACCTTTACCTTTCCTGAACCTACCACAGAACTAGAAACAGTATTTGGTTAATAAATAGTATTTTAATGAATGATTGAATTCCATTTTTCACTACTTATTAATCTTTTATTGGGTTGTAGGAATGTTCTGGTAGCAGGCCAAAAGCTGTCTGCTGTATTGTTGTGGCAGTCTTGACTCTGGATAACAGGTTTCCCTGTCAATCTGTTTCACTGAGACTCAATCTTTTGCAAAAGAGAATGGGACCGAGAATTGGAGGGAAGGGGGAGGAGGGAAAGAAGAGGTGAAAAAAAAATTAAGACATGTTATGTACATGTACAAGAAATGTAGTTATTATGTGTCACAAATATGTATTAATAAGAAATAAAAATTGAAAAAAGCCCTTGGGGAAAAGTCCCTCAAATCTCCAGGTGAGACCAGTATCTTATTAAGTTTGGAATATTGATGCATATGAGTATGTGTGTTTCAGAGTAGGGAGGGGTGAGCAAACTATAACAAATAACTTTTTTTTCTTAAATGGAACAATAGAAAAGAAAAATGAGTGGCTTGTGGCATCAAAGGCAAAAAACCTCAGTTCTGTGACCTTTTACTTGTTTTAGCTGCAAAATTATATTAACCCTGGAAACTGTTTCTCCCAGTCCAAAAAGAATGTGTGGCAGTTTGACCGAATTTGATATTAAAAATACTTTTATAAATGCTGCCCCTCCCACAAAGGTCTTGGGGCTATTGATCCCACTGACTTTAAATACTGACAGTATGTTCAAGTCTGAGGAATCCTTGAGAAACAAAAGGAAGTGATAGAAATGTCTGTGCCTAACCTCAAAGCTTGAGTATGACTGCCCTTCTTGTTATCCCTGAAAAAAAACAAGCCCTTTCATCCACTCTGAAGGCAGAGGCGGCAGCACTTCTGCATCCCCACAAGACTAAATGGGTAGTTAGTTACCTTAGCAAGTTTCCTGACGATCTGATCAGGTCAACCACTTGTTTGTGGGAAAAGCCTTCTGTGCTCACTCCGTTGATATTTGCAAGGACATCACCTGGGAAACGCCAAGAAAAGTAAGTGTTACATTGGTTGAAAATGAGTGTTATGTTGGTTTACAATAAGTATTTATATTGGTTGATTAAATAATCCCTCCTGACTCACAAATGAAACAAGCAAGCTCCAAACTCCAGAAATTTCAAGAAAATCCAAGGTAACAATCATGTCCCAACCTTCATTGCCACCCAGGTTTCCTTCCTTGCTATGTAAACGGTCCTTAACATGAGCAGTTAGGTTACCAGCTTGCAGGCCCGCACAGTGAGCAGGACTGTCCTCCTGTGTTTTGCAGATCAGAGTGCACACTTCCCAGGAGCAGAAGTTCTGGCTCTGGAGCCTGTACGTCTGTAACATTTAAGGGAATACAGAGATACTATTCAAAAACACTCAAAATATATTTGTCACAACAGAAAATCCTGTCAATTATCATCAAGTGGTTTAGTAGGTGAGTTCAAAGGATCATTTGGAAAGTCTTTCCCAACTATAAATTCCATCAAAGATGCAAGTTTTGCAATTTGACCAGTCTGCAGCCAACTCCATTCATAAAATATCATCTGGCATGAGAAAGTGGGATGAGAGTGGCTCAAGATTTTCTATTTTCAAGCCTAAGAGACCACCTGGTCTTATTGTTTTTACATAGTAAAAAAAAATTAAATTTCTTATTTTCCAAAAGGATAAAACAATGCTGGCCAAAAGCAAGGAAAAAAGCTGTATGTGGTTCTCGCAAACTAACTCATTATAGGAGATGATGAAATGATACACACCCAGCAAGGGAGATATGCCAACAATGATTATTTTAAATCAGTTCTGCAAGCAGCGCTAATCTGTTCTACATTTATTCCAAAGTACCATAATTGACTCAATCACTTTCATTTCTGAGCTCTCCATTGTGCCTGCCCCCAAATTCTCACTGGTTCATCAGTCACCAACTACATTAAAAAAGTTATGCTTCACCTCCTGCCTCAATTTAGCACAAGTACTTTGGTGGTTGCAGGTTTTTGTTTTTCAAATTGTATCAAAACGCTAATAAATGTCCACTAGATGAAGGGTCCCAATGACTCCAGACATATTTTTCTTTCTAATACATTTGTAATGAGACCTAGTTTTATTGAAAATGAAGACCAGAGTTCTGAGTTGAGTTTTTAAAACATCTGATTCCTACAATTAAGTCACATTACTGTTTTCTGGTGCAGAAATTAGTGTCTGATGGCCATTCCTTTTCATTCTATCAACTCTGAGTCAGTCACTTGGAAGTAACTTTTAGAAACTTGGGTCTATCAACCTAAAGGATTTCTCCTCAATCTACAAGGTAGGCAGAGATCGTGTAATACATTGTGATGTATACAGAAGCCTTTTGACAGCTTGCCAGAAGTCTCACTGAAGCCCAGAACATTCTAGAGATGAAGGCTGACCGAGTTCATGGAATCCATAAACCAAAAATATAATTGACCCTCTCTGGAAACCACTGCTCTAACAGTTCTCATTAGGGTTGAGGGTCTACCCTCCATGACCTGTCATCAAAGAGAGGATAGTGCAAAGGAAGGACACTGATTTATACACCAGGCACCTGCACAGGTTCACAAGAGTTATAAGTTTGAGATTAGAGATAGGGAGAGAAAGACAGAAGCCCCAAAGTTACAGAAAGAAATATTTAGTATGGCTTCTAATAAGCAGTATAAAACTAGCAGCAATGGAAAACCAGAGAGGAGGGTAGATCTGGTCTCTTCCAACATGTCACTCACCTGGTAGACATGGACATAAAAATGGAGTCACACGTGATGCACAATCTGAGTACATGAAGTCCTATCTGGTCTGTAAAAAAATCCCCCAAAACATTCACCCTATTTGTTGACTTCCTGTTTCACTGAGATGACATGTGCTTGCTATGAAGCTACTAGTTCATGTTAATCTTCAAATGTTCAATGCTCTGTGGCCTGTTGTATTTACCCTGTTTTCAATAGCAACTGCTGCACATCTCTGAGAATTATGCTCATTTTAAAAGGAGCAGTCACAAAATACATAATGCCTCTGTAACAACATAGTGTCTTATGTGAACAGGGAATAGTACTGAACTTCTACAATCTGATAGATTTTACCAATTTGGGGGGAAATTATAAATTTCATCAAATTTAAAAGTAGTAGAGTTTTTAAAAGTATAAGTTATCTTCTTTACTTCTATAAGCTTCTTCTGGTGAATATCATTATTTTCTTTACTCGTAAAATATGTTTTACTTAGCAGCTTCCTGTTCCTGATCTTAAAATACGCACTGAGTTTCCAATTGTGGGGCTGATATCACACCAAAGTTTTCTGCAAGCAGCACAAAAACTAAGATCTAAAATCTGAAGTGTAGTATAAGAATATGATTATGCAAAACACATCTAAAAGGAATACATAAATGTTATAGGAAAAAGTAATACTAAAAAGATTACTAATTAGATTAGATTACATTTGACCTAATTCACAATCTTTGCAAATATGGTCATGAAACAGCAAACATTTAATAGAAAATGAATTTTTTAGGTATTTACACTGAAGCCCTTAAGGGCTGTTAAAAATTTCATCCATCATTAAGCAATCTTCAAGTAGAGTCAAAGTTTCAAAGGTTTCAAATTATAATTATTAAATACTGTCATTACAAATAAAAGTACAAATTTCTCATATCAATAATAACTCTTCTGTATCAAAAGTAATACATAAATATATTCATTCCATATACACAGTTTTAAATATTTCTAAAATACTAAAAATTTAGAATCTGATATATAGCATAATATAATTATACAAAGCACATCCAAAATGCAAATGTGTAAAATGCACATCTGTAAAAACTATTTCACTCTCTTAATTAAGACCTGGTTGAAATCAAGGATTTCTAATCAGTCTGTACTTAAGGAAGACTGAGGCAAGTCACCACAAGGAGCTGAGACTATCTCGGTGGTAATATTTTGTCAGTGTCACTATTTTCTTTCCTTGACAGTATTCAACCCAGTGGAAAACTATCCCAAAACACATACTCTGAATGAAGTTCACATTCTCCATCATTCACTAATCCTAATATCATCATTCTTTGTTAAGTGTTTCAACTATTTTCCTTGGAAGTCTGGGAGATTTGAAAACTGCCAACCTGAATTTCAAATCCAAATGTTCCATTGTCCTGCTTTTCCACAGTTACAAGCTTTCTGTAATGAAAGGAAAAAATTTTTTAAACTGCATGAAGAACAAAGTATCACATTTGGCACATATCTATCATTAAAAATAATGATCACAACTAAAAATAACTGGCTTTTATGTATAAAGAGTAATAAGAATATACAGTGAAAGTTTAAATTTTTTAAATTTATTACAGTAAATGACATATTGCCATAAATCTCCCTCAAGATACTCTCCTTTGCTCCCAATACACTTATCCTATCATTCTTGCCACTTTCTGAAGCAGTTGCAGAAGTCCTTTTTCATGAGAGTCTTTATGATACGTGATTTTTAAAAATACAGTAAATGCTGCTGCCAAGTGATATCCAATGGCAAAGTAGGCTTAAAAAATATTACACTGGAGCTGGGGATTTAGCTCAGTGGTTTTGCCACCTGCTGTGCAAGCACAAGGACCCAAGTTCACTCCCTGGTACCAAAAAAATTAAAAAATTTTAAAAATAAAAAGAAGTATTACATTGTATCCTCATCCACCTTATTCACCAGATCTGGCACCATGCTAATTCCAACTCTTCTCAAAGTAAAACTATGATTGAAAGGTAAAAGTTTTGAATAGATTCAGCACACTGAGGCAGCCACGCCAGCACAACTAAGACACTCAAAAAAGAGGACTTCCAGAACTGTTCCAGAAAGTGGCAAGAACAGTGGGATAAGTGTGTTGAAAATGGGGTATTTTGATAAAGATTAATGGTAATCTATCTTTTACTGTTATACACTTTTAAATTTTAAATATTTACCTTGTTTTTCAATCACACCTCATAAATTGTCGTATGTATGTGTCAATATTATCAACAGTCTGGAAAGCTATGTTTCCGTGTATCTTGTTGAAAAAGCAAAAGAATAAGTGAATCTCTTTACCTCTGAGACCAGGAAAAGTCACCCAAAGAACTTGATCTGGTCAAAGCAGGCTGAAAAATAATAATAGTGTACAGTTATCTCAAGGTCCTTAAGATACATCTGTAAACTGTTTGTAAGTCACCAAAGATTTTCTTCTTTATCACCTTCCTTGGCACAGCTCCTGGAAAATTGTTACATAAAGGCAGTAATTTCCATTTTCTGATGATAGCAAAGAAGCAGAGTTGGCAATGGGAAATTTCTGGCATTCTGTTTAAAAGATTAAAAGAGCTTGGATAGTGAGGCACTGTGGCAAAAGAGTTCATGTAATGTGGCAGAACTCCAAAGCTTTCAAAGACTACTTCATTTCTAATCAGTTTTTAAAACAGCTTCTAAAAGATGAGCAACAATTTATCATCACACTGAATTACAGAGAAAATGACACTCATAGAATGGCATGAAATCCAGGTATTCATATACTTGATAGCTTTTGAAGATGCCAATAAAATGACTTTATTTATTATAATAGTTCGGTGTTACTGTTTTTAGCTCAATAAAATAATCTCTAAAGAACCAACTTATATATATAAGAATAATTCAAGTGAAACTAGGAACTCGAAACTTCAATTTTGTTTATGATTTACTTTTGCAATAGTTTTAGAAGAATGTAATGAGATTTTCAGTCAAGAAAGGAAAGGCGAGAGAGGAGCTGCATGGGCACTCAGGCTCCCGCCTGAGGCCCGCCATTCCATCGGTGAGTGCTTGCAGATCCTGGGGAGCAGCTGTGTGGCCCAGACCAGCAGGGCTGCTGGAGGATCCCAGATGGGACTCCGCTCTGACCTCAAAAGTTCAGGCACACCCACCCAAGCCAAAGGCCTGCCCAGAAAGGGGCTGCACGGGCACACGGGCTTCAGCCAGAGGCTCGCCATACCACTGACCACAGCCATGCACCATCCTGGAGAAGAGCTGTACAGGCACACAAGCAATACCATTGATAAGTGGAAGAAGACCCTAGCCAAAGCCTGTGCAGACAACAGAAACTGGGGTGCACAACCCCCAACCAAAGGCCCTCCCAGACAATAGCTGCACAGTGGCCCCAACAAAAGGCACACGTAGATACCATCGCAAGTGTGCTCAGGCTCCAGCCAGAAGCCCACCCTGACAACAGGTCAGCTCAGAGATCTAGAAGGCCACCACTCAGAACCCAGGAATTGGTGTACTGGTGAGCAGCAGAGTAAAGGCTGCTCAATGGCTAGCTGAGAAATCAAGACCACTGGGTGAGCAAAAAGTCACCTCAACAAAGAAACAGCAGGGTGCATCTGTTGAAATGAGAAGACACATAAATAAGTCCCAAAACCAGACTTCCAGGTCACCTAAGGGAACCCCAAAGGGCAACAAGATGGAACAATCTGATACTCAATCACCTGGACTCCCTGAACTGGCAAAGAAAGGGGACCTGGAAAAAAAGAAATCAGAAATAATTACTCAGATAACAGCAGAGATTGTGCCCATAGTACAAGACATGATTAATAAATCTAGAGTAGACCCAGATAAAAAAAAGAGAGGAGCTGAGGAACATGAGGGAATCCCCACATAGGAAACAAATGGAATCCATAAAACAGATTTCCAGGAGATTAAAAACTCCATTGAAAGTTTACACAGCAGAATGAGCCAATATGAGGATAGAATTTCAGATATAGAAGATAGAATTGCAATTAGTGATGAGGAAAAGAAAAATTTCATTAAAATAGTAAGGGACCACAAGAAATTAATCTAGCAGCTGCTAGATGAGGCAAAGAAGAATAACATCAGAGTGATTGGAGTCAAGGAAGAAACAGGAGACAGTATAGATGACATAAAAAAAATGTTCACAGAGGTAACGGCAGAAAACTTCCCAAATAGGGGGAAAGAACTTGAAAGAGAGATAAGTGAGGCATATAGGACTCCAAATAGCCTTGATCAAAAAAAACTACACATAGGCATATAATAGGGAAGATTCCAGAAACCCAACAGAAGAACAAAATTCTACAAGCTGTTAGAGAAAAGAAACAAATCACACACGAAGGAAAGCCCATCAGAATCACAGCACATTTCTCAACACAAACCCACAAGGCAAGAAGAGCACGGAGCAATGTATTTCAAGCCCTGAAGGAAAACACCCTCCAACAAAGATTTAGGTACCCTGCAAAATTGTCTTTCAAAATTTATGGAGAAATAAGATACTTTCATGACAAAGAGCACCTTAGGAACTTCACGAATATCAAACCAGCACTCCAAAAAATTTTAGAAAACATCCTTGGAACAGACAATGAGGATCACAACCCCAGGAAGCCCAGCAGAATGAATACATCAGGCATGACAAGGAATTAAACATAAAGAATCCAACAAAAAGAAAAAGTCATGACAAGGATAAGTCAATACGTATCAGTTATAACCATCAATGTTAATGGTCTCAATTCACCAATCAACAGAAATAGTCTGGAAGAATGGGTCAAGAAGCAAGATCCAACAATATGCTGCATACAAGAAACACATTTAATTCAAAAAGAAACTCATAAACTGAAAGTTAAAGGGTGGTAAACAATAGTCCTTGTGACAGGAACCCAAAAAAAAGCAGGAATAGCTATCCACTTTGCAGACCAAGTGGATTTCAAACCAACACTGATTAAGAGAGTCAAAGAAGGACACTATATCCTTATAAAGGTAACAATCCAACAGGAAAAGATAGCAATCATAAATATATATACACCCAACACTAGTGCGCCCAACTATGTAAAAGGAATACTAATGGACATGAAAAATAGTATAAGCACTAATACAATAGTGGGGGGGGACAGTCAATACCCTACTGTCACAAACAGATACATCAACTAGACGAAAAATAAACAACAAAATACTAGAACTCAATCAAACTCCTGAACAAATGAACTTAACAGGTGTTTACAGAGTCTTCCACCCCACAAAATCAGAATACATATTCCTTTCACCTGCACATGGGTCCAAAATAGACCACATCCTCCCTCAAAAAACATGTTTAACTAAGTGCAAAGGAATTGAATATATCCCTTGTATATTGTCAGTCCATAGTGCAATGAAATTGGAGATCAATAGCAAAAGAAACTGCAAGAATTTCATAAATACATGGAAACTGCACAACACACTTCTGAATATCAATGGGTCTCAGAGGAAATTAAAGAAGAAATCAGACAGTTCCTACAATTAAATGACAATGCCAATACAACATATTGGAATCTATGGGACACAATGAAAGCAGTCTTACCAGGGAAAGTCATAGCAGTGAATACTCACATAAGGAAAAAAAAAAACAGCTCAATTGCAGAACCTGATGCTGAACCTCAAGCTTCTAGAAAAAGAAGAGCAGCAGAAACCCAAATACCATAGAAGGGAGGAAATTATGAAGATCAGGCCAGAAATCAATGCAATAGAGACTAAGAGAATGATACAAAACATCAATGAATCCAATATTTGGTTCTTCAAAAGAATAAACAAAATTGACAAACCCTTAGGCAACCTTATCAGAAAAGGAAAGAAAAGGCCCAAAACCATGCAATTAGGAATGAAAAGGGTGAAATTACAACAGACACAGCAGAAATCCAGAGAATCATCAATGCCTACTTTGAGAACCTATACACCAATAAGATGGAAAACACAGAAGAAATGGACAGATTCCTAGATAAGTGTAAATTACCAAAGTTGAACGAAGATGACCTAAAAATTCTAAACAACACAATATCAATCAGTGAAATTGAAAATGTAATTTAAAACTTACCAATTAAGAAAAGCCT